GAATCAGTGAAACCACACACTATCAGCAGAACTGTTTTTTAGTTTCTGCTGTTAGCTGCATAAAATTAACATGACTGAACTTTGGAACTGGATTCTATTTTGATCTGACTGATTTCACATTAATCGGAAAATTAACTTTTGATTTATTGTTAATTAACGGTTTATTATTTAAATGTTTCCATCCAGGTGATTAATAATGTTTGCTTAAAAGGAATCTCTTTGTTAAGCAGAAATGAGAATGGATCCAGAGTCCGGTCCGGATTTTTTACTCTGCTTAATAGTGGGATTGATGCAGAAGGAATTAATCAGGTTCTGTTTGTAAATAAATGTGATAAACTTTAGCTATCACCTGGGTAGCTCCGTTTAGCCATGCTGCATGTAGGAGCAGCGCAACTCTGCACTTTTTGTTCATCTTTTTTATTTGGTAACCTGACAGGTTTCTGTTGTTTTATTTTCTATAAATAACTTTAATAGCAATAGCATAGCAAGGGATGAAGGCTGAGAAGCTTTAACGATTTTTAAATAGTCATTTTTTCTACCGTCTTTTTTTTGTAATGTAATCTAAAGTGTCTCCCTGTCACTTTAAATAGTTCTGCTGCTCAGACTACAGCATTTCTGGTTTGCTGACCAATCAGAGCCCAGAGTGCTGAGAGACACGCCCACTCATTCATGGCCAGAAACTAGATCTGAAGGTTCTGTTGAGCTCCAAAACCCCAACAGGAACCAGCACAGAAACATCAAAATAAATCTTTGAGATGCTAATAGCTTCAGAAAGGGAGGGAATCACCATGGCAACCAGGAATGGATGGTCAGAGAGCTGGCGGTTGTCTTTTTTAAGATTAAGAGGAATCCTCTGAGGTGGTAACGGGTCCATCAGGTGTTCACAGCTCCAACAGAACTTCCCCCATCAGAACCACGGATCAGCTTTTCTGTGGCACAGGCGTGTTGGTTTGTCTGAACGCGTTTGATTTCTGTTTGGCTGCCCACCCCTCCCCATCCCCTCACCCCCCCTCTGAACCAGCACAGCTTCACCATCAGGGCGACAGCGGAGCGGACCTGAAGCGGTCCCAGAAGCTGAAGCTTTTGTTTTCAGCTTTTTCTTCCTCTGGCTGCTGCCTTCAAACTGCTGCTGCTGTCGGGTCAGAACCACCTCAGGCTTTCTCACTTTGCTTCTTTTTTTCCTAAAACATGAACGTTATCTGGCTAAAGTAAGAACACCCCACCCACATTTCATAACGTTCTAACAGTCGGCGACTTTCAGAATAAAACTAGAGGAAGTTTTCATAACTAATGGAGATTTACCACCTCTGGTCCCTTTAACGTCTAATTCCCGGTTCTGAGCTGAGTCTCTACACGCCGCCATGTTTAGTCAGGATGTTTAAAAACGTTCTAGAATCAACAAGCTACAGGGTCCTAAAGCTGACCTAAAGACTCAGAGTCCAATCAGGGGGTTTTAACCAAAGAAAGCAGGTGATTTCCATGAGATTGATCTTTTTTCTGGTTTAACCCCTTCAGCCCAGGGGGTCTTAAAGGAGAAGTTCGGTTTTTTACACTTTAAGCCCATTTTCTGTAGTGTCCAGGATGAAATCGAACGAAGGACACCAAAATTTTGA